TCCTCTGCCAACAATGCTAAAGCCAGTTTGCCCTGCGTGGCAAAACCATGGAAAATTTGCTTGCGGAAGCCCGACGGGTCAGTGGGCTGTTGTGCCTCGATTCGGTCCACCAGGCGCCGCAATCTCTCCGGAGCTTCGTCGTCGCTGCTTGATGATGAACTCGAGCTGGAGCTTTCTTCCTTCTTCTTCCTTTTCTCCTTGCTCCTTTTAGCCTTGTCTGGTGCGACCGATGCCGCCGCGGCCTGGGCTGGCGACAGCACAGTGGCTGCCGGATTTTGACCAGCTGTTATTACCTTGGCCATGGAGGCCAAAAGCTGGCTCTGCTCTGCCATCTGTTGCTGCAATGGAGTTATGTTTTGCTGGATGGCGGTGGTAACCACCGCCGCTCCAGTGGCGGGGCTGCCGGCCGGTGGAGAAGTTCGGTTGGGAAGTGGTGGGAAAGTTATGCCACCAGCCTCGCTGGTGGAGGGACCCGCAAAGCCGGTGGTGGCGTTGATCACTAAATTGGCGCCATCTTGGGCGGCCGTACCTTGCCTTTGCTGCACTTGCTCGTTGTTCAACGCTGACATCAGAAACAAAAGACTACAGGAACTTGAAACAGATGGTGATGACTAGGTGGGGCTTCGATGGCGAGCACGATGCTCTATCCGAGATTGAACAGCAAAAAGAGAGAAAGCTGTCAGCTATAAGCTGAAGCTCTACTGAGTGAAAGGCAGAATGCCTGAAACGAAAGAGCTGAAGCAATTAATACTCGCCATTCCAATACGGTTGTACGACAGTCGCACAGAACCAGACTTAGAGACTCCGATCGCTTCGCTCCGTCGTATCTAAGTCAACAATAATATGTATAGGATATGTATGTATGTATAAGGGATTTAATGTATGTCCTAATAAGGGAGCGAAATGTCCAAAGCGCAGCTATGATGAGATGAGCCTTAGCAGCTCATTTCTTGTGGTACGGTGGCCGAGTGGTCTAAGGCGTAGGATTAAGGCTCCTATCTGCAAGGGCGCAGGTTCAAGTCCTGCCCGTATCAGACGACGATACGTCATGCGATGCATGCGCATGTCGTGCACGTGCATGGTATGTCGTACGTATGCAGGTATGTTGATTACAACATCAATACCATTGTCACCTGCTGATTTATTTAGGCAAGGAATTCCTTGGGTAGTTCGAGCTACCTAATGCGGCATATTGGGGAGAAGTCAAACCTGTATTCTAGGCATGTCAATTGCAAGCTGACATCGACAACAGAAGGCAGCAGCAGGCAGGCAACCAGCCATCTGTAGTAGCCATCCCTTATTATTGTAGGCAAATGAGTGATCACATCCATAGATGTGGATGTGATCAGTTGGCCAACTGTGCATGCATATGCCGTGTAGCAGGCCGACAGGAAGGTGTTCAACCGGTTGAGCACCTATACCTAGCTAGGTACCAGGCCTGATCATGATACCAGGCACAGAGGGTGGTCAAGCAGAATTGAGGATTTAAGGGTTTGGGCACCCAGTCATCTGCAGCTGGATGTACTAGCCATCCCTTACCCTTAGGTGAATGGGTGATCACATTTTCTTTATTCAGCCGTGAAGCAGGCTGAGAGAAAGGTGTTCAACCACGGAGTATATATGGTCAAGTGGCAAAAGTAAATATCAAGATATGTGGATAGTAAGAGTCAGGAGACATAATAACAAAGGAATTTTGGTGCTAACAGAGTCTTGAANTTAAGTTCAAGACTCTGTTAGCACCAAAATTCCTTGTTTGAAGCTTCAAACACCAGTATAGTGATATTTAAAGTGTCTGGCCTAAGCACCTTTACCAGGTGGATTATATATGGCTCACCTATTGCTATCTATCTACTCCATTCCTGGAGTCATGGTCTGGTGATATGATGGTCATCCTGTCGCGAGGTGTGTGTGCTTGTGTGTGCCATGGCCATATGGCCATGCGTGGCACAGTAAAACTTTAGATCATGATCACCTACGTATACGTAGGTGATGCATCACCTGGGACAGTCCCTACCTATTATACGAGAGTGTCGCTTATATATAGGTGATCGAAAGGTTTACTGTGTGGCACAACAAGCACAATATACACACTGTACTATACACACTGTGACACAATATTGTCTATATACTGTGTGTGTATGCTTGTATGTGTGTGCTGGTGTGTGTGTGTGTGTATGTGTGTGTATTACCCTTGATATGATATCATGCATGACACTCCATCGATGAAGAGAAGATGATTAATACGATTATTAGTGAGTGTGGTTCGTAATTCTTCTTACATGCACCAGATAGACCGCTAGTTTGATTATTAAGCATCGATGCTACTGATATCAGTAGCTTTTATTAGCGAACATATATGTATATACGTCTG